CAGCACTTTCTTTAAAGGATCATATACCATGACTAAGGGGGATTCATCCCTTTGATGAAAGGATGGTTCAACATACAAAAATCAATCAATGTGACATACCACATTATTAGAATGAAGGATAAAATTTACATGACCATCTCAATAGATGCAGAAAAAGCATTTGACAAATTCAACACACTTTCATGATAAAACCACTCAAGAAATTAGAAATAGGCTGGGCGCGGTGGCTCATGCCTATAATCCTAGCACCCTGGGAGGCCGAGGAGGGTGGATTGCTCGAGGTCAGGAGTTCGAAACCAGCCTGAGCAAGAGTGAGACCCCTTCTCTACTATAAATAGAAACAAATTAATTGGCCAACTAATATATATAGAAAAAAAAATTAGCTGGACATGGTGGTGCATGCCTGTAGTCCCAGCTACTCAGGAGGCTGAGGCAGCAGGATTGCTTGAGCCCAGGAGTTTGAGGTTGCTGTGAGCTAGGCTAATGCCATGGCACTCATTCTAGGCTGGGCAACAAAGTGAGACTCTGTCTCAAAAAAAAAAAAAAAAGAAATTAGGAATAGAAGAAAATTACCTCAACATAATAAAGCTCATAAATGAAAAGCTTACAGACAGCATGATTCTCAAGGGTAGAAAACAAAGCTTTTTCTGTAACATCTGGAACAAAGCAAGGATGCCCACTCTCACTGCTTCTGTTCAACACAGTACTGAGGGGATTAGCCAAAGTAATTAAGTGAGAAAAAGAAATAAAAAGCATCTAAATCAGAAAGGGAGAAGTAAAATTATCTTTGATGACAGGATATTAAACGTAGAAAACCTGAAAGAGTTCACAAAAAAGCTGTAAGGATAAATGAATTTAACAAATTTAAATAATACAAAATCAACATACAAAAATCAGATACAATAACAACAAACAATCCAAAAAGAAAATTAAGACAATAATCCCCATTTACAATAATATCATAAAGAATAAAATACTTAGGAATATATTTAACCAAGGAGGCAAAATATTTGTATGCTGAAAACTACAAAATATTCTTGAAAGAAATTAAAGAAGGCATGAGTAACTGGAAAGATATCTCATGTTCATGGATTGGAAGACCATATTATTAATATGTTCATACTACCCAAAGCAATCTACGGATTCAAAGCAGTCCCTGTCAAAATCGAATGGCATCTTTTGCAGAAATAGAAAAACAATCCTAAAATGTATATGGAACCACAAAAGACCCCAAATAGCCATAATAATTTTGAGAAAAAAGAACAAAACTGGAGGCCTCACATTTCTTGACTTTAAGACATTACAGAACTACAGTAATTAAAATAATATGTTACTGGCATGAAGACAAACATATGGGCCAGTGAAACAGCATATTGAGCCCAGAAATAAATCTACCCATATATGGTTACATAATCTTCAACAAGGATGCCAAGATTACTCCATGGGAAAAAGATAGTCTCTCTTCAACAAATGTTCCTGGGAAAACTGGATATTCACATGCAAATGAATGATATTGGACCCATATCTTATCCCATACACAAAAATCAACTAACAATGGATTAAAAACTTAAATGTAAGACCTGAAACTATAAAACTTCTAGAAGAATACACAGTGTTAAAGTGTTTTGACATTAAGATTGGCATATTATAATTCCCATGTACAGATTAGGAAATAGAAGCTTAACATTAAAAAAAACCTTCCTGGTGCATGATGGAGCTAATGGTCTATTCGACTCCAAGGCACACACTAAGAGGAAAGAAATGAATTCGTTTCTCAACCACTTTCGTTGGTATAATACCTCACACTTGTTAAAATATTTTCCCAAATTGTATTTAATTGAATTCCTGAACAACTCTATGAACAAGCAAGTTATATCATGCCTGTCATGCATATGAAGAAACTGAGGTTCAAAGATCTTATCTTCCTATAAATTCACTACAGTTAGTGACAGAGGGGGTTAATTCACTATATAAATGTCTTTTGTTTGATTAATATGTTCACAGTATGGTATATGCTTTTAAAGTCTCATTCAACCCTCAAATTGAATATATGGTGTGGGTTTTCCTGTTAGCTTCATTTTATAAATAGGGTGTGGGGGCTGGGTCTAGAAGAAAGGATGGATGGATGGAAAGAATGTGAGCAGGGTGAATGAAGGGACACGCAAAAACACCTGCCCAAAGCTGCTTGTTTGCTGAGTGCGAAGGTCAGCTGAAACCAGCTGACCTATCAGCTGACCTATATGTATGTGTTTTGTTTTGTTTTTTTGAGACAGAGTCTCGCTTTGTTGCCCAGGCTAGAGTGAGTGTCATGGCATTAGCCTAGCTCACAGCAACCTCAATCTCCTGGGATCAAGCGATCCTACTGCCTCAGCCTCCCAGGTAGCTAGGACTACAGGCATGCGTCACCATGCCCAGCTAATTTTTTCTATATATATTAGTTGGTCAATTAATTTATTTCTATTTATAGTAGAGATAGGGTCTTGCTCTTGCTCAGTTGCTTTCGAACTCCTGACCTTGAGCAATCCGCCCGCCTAGGCCTCCCAGAGTGCTAGGATTACAGGCCTGAACCACCGTGCTCAGCCCTTATATGTATGTTGTTAAAGAAATTAGCAAACGGTGCTGACCTTTTGCACATGTCCTTGGAAATAAATACAGGAAGGAACTTAGCTGGGGAGGCCATTTTGTCCTTCAGACTTTGGTCTTTCCCCTTCTCTCTAAACAGTGTGTTTCCAGTAATTATTCCTTTGCTACTGAGCTCTGGAGTGAAAAAGTGCCACTACAATGGAGGAAACAGACTACATGACAAGGGCTTGAACTCAGCCCTTCTGCCTTCAAGCCCTGTGCTCGTCATCACATAAATCCAGCAATAAGACCTGGTGACTGTGGGTATGCCAGTTGTTCAGCTATTGTTTCTTAGCTCCAACACCATTCCTGTGAGCTTCCCCACTGGTTTTTCCTGTGTCACCCCAACAACTCTTTCACCCCACCAGCAGCAGTGTCTTCCCATAGCAATAGCTGAATGCAGTTGCAGTTTTCCTAACACTTGTAGAACCAGCTTTATCATAACCAGCTCCACTCTCCCAACCCCAAGCTCAGAGAAAGCAGCATCAGCCAAACAGTGTTCCTGTCTCAGACATATGCTGGCCCATGCTCCAAGCTTCTAAGTTTTAGTAATTCCAACTTCTTTATTTTATTTTCTCAACCATAAAGGTAGTTATTGTTTCCTGTTATTGCTACCTCTGTAATTGCTTTAGAGTCCTTTTTTAATCTTTCCAGTTATATAGTAAGTAATAATTTACTTAGTCATTAACTACATGTATTTTTTATCGTTAGACCCTGACTGATACAGTAAGTTTTAATATTTTCTTATTATGATGGAAACCAACAGAGAACTGGCTAAGCTTGCAGGAAAAATATATGCTGTCCCTCCCCATTCTGTCTTGATACTGCACTAGAAAGCCTCCAGAGAACTATGCTTCCAATTGGTATTTTTATTCTCTAATAGGCCAGGAGGCTCTAGTCAGCTTTTTTTTTTCATGCAGATATAGCAGGTAAGTGGAGTATGTTGTACACTTGGACAAAATAGACAACCTCCCTAAAATATGGTAAAACTTTACCATAACACAAGTTAAACTAAAAACAGCAGTTGCAGGGTTCACTTATTACAACTTATTGCAAGTTATTGTATATGAAATGGCTATGAAATAACCAAAGCATAAATGCATAGCAAGTTTACTGGGAATTGGAGGGGTTCAGGAGACAACTGTCAGTTGCTTTATATCTGACTAAATATTGGTACATTACTGTAGGTTTTACTGTACTACTAGTATTACTATTTATTGTAGCAAAAAAGATGAGCTTTGTTTTTAATCTGGAAATCCTCTAAATTTAATAAGATGTGGAGCTCTGGTTATAAAAGCTGCTTCCAAATGAAAAACAAACACAACTGTTCATGTGGTTAGCTGATACAACCACTATGGAGATCAATTTATCAAAATCTGGTGAAGTTGAAGATGTACACATGCTCTGATCTAGCAGTTCTAATTATAGCTTTATGCCCTGGAGAAACTCAAGCATCTGTATACCAGAAATATGTACAAGGATGTTTACAATAGCCAATAAATTAGAAACAACCTAATTGTCTATCAACAGGATATGGATTGATTATTGTTTAACCACATAATTGAATGTTATATGCCATTTAAAATAAATGAAGTATGTCTATGTAAGGAATGATTAACATGGAATGATTTTAGAAATACAATGAATATGAAATGCAAATTAGAGAGTGATCTATATGACAAGATAAGACTAAAAAACTCAAAATGGTACCATTTTTCTATGGAGAGAGATATATGTATTAAAACATGGATGAAAAAAGATATAGTGGTTACTTCTAGTTTGGGGAGAAGCACAAAAAAAAGTTTGAACTCTATTTTATTTCTTAACAATCAAAAATATCTCAAGTAAATATTACAAAATGTTAACATCACAAAATATTAGCATCCTATATCTAGGAGTAGGTACATAGGTATTTATTATTTTCTGCATTTTCTATAAGTTTGAAATACTTTATAATAGAAATTACTAAAAAAAAAAAAAGACTGTGTGTAAGGTAATAGAATATTGTAGAATATAGGAGTGGGATCAGGGGAGCCAGCAGAGAAGGGAAGGCAGAGAAACTGCTGACCTAAGGTTTCATAGATGTGTATAGAGGAAGACATGAGGTCAGGTTCAAAAAGGGAAGAAATACTGAATGACTGGGTGTAGGCAGAAAAGAGAGACAAGAAATGAAAATATGTTCAGCTTCCCCAGCTGGATTACTCAGGGTAGGAATTGGACCTTATATTAATACTTAGCTCACATTTTCTGTACTTAGGAAAGCCATTTCCCTCCACTTGGCACTTAATGCATTATGTTGACAGCCATTCTGTATCTTGTCAGCAAAATCTGCAACCCAGACACTTATACTCTACTTATTGATTATATTTGAAACTCACCACTCAGGTTTAGTTGCCGGAGATCATTTAAAGATAGAAAAGATGGTGGAAGATAACTTATTTGATTATTGTGTGCATGTAAACTAACCAAATTTCTCAATTCCCCTATATTTCTTGGAATCTCTCTGATTGCATTATTTGAGATATCAAGTTCTTTAAGTTGAGTCATATTAGACAGCTCTTCTGGAAGTCTTGTTAACTGCAACAAAGATTGAACAATTATATTTTTATAAATACATAAATAGTTGCATGAGTAAAACTTTTTCTAAAATCAAATGAAAGGAGGGAGTTTTTTTGTTTTTGTCTTAGAAAGGAGATATTTTCATTATGTCACAAATTCTTTGTGATTGACTCTCTTCATTCTAGCTTAAACCTACAGGATTCTATGCGGCATCCAAGTACTTCCCCAACTGTGACCAATGCTACCAGTTCAACCCTGTGGCTTGTTCACCCACTTTCCTCACTCTCCCAACACTCAGTATTCACCACTTCCTTGTCCCTCTCTCTTCTCTTCCTAAACCTGATGCGGCATTGGCTGCTGCTTTTCCCTGAATTCTTTCCCAGCTACTCCAACCCACATTTCATCTCTTTATTCCTACTCTCATCAGTATTGCTCTTTATTTGTCCCTTGCATGTTTTCCTTAAATTCTTAAATTATGTATATGCATGTTTTATACTTTTTGTGTATGTGTCCTAAGCACAATGCATTTTTTTTTTTTTTTTTTTTGACAGAGTCTCGCTTTCTTGCCTAGGCTAGAGTGAGTGCCATGGCGTCAGCCTAGCTCACAGCAACCTCAAACTCCTGGGCTCAAGCGATCCTCCTGCCTCAGCCTCCCGAGTAGCTGGGACCACAGGCACGAGCCACCATGCCCGGCTGATTTTTATATTATATATATTAGTTGGCCAATTAATTTCTTTCTATTTTTATGGTAGAGAAGGGTCTCAGGCTGGTTTTGAACTCCTGACCTTGAGCAATCCGCCCGCCTCGGCCTCCCAGAGTGCTAGGATTACAGGTGTGAGCCACCTCGTCTGGCCAGCACAATGCATTTTGAATAAATGTTCAATAATGGAGTCACACAGTTTGGCAATGTGGCCTCAAATAAAAATTCCTAGTACAAAAAGTGTTGCAAATAACAGAAATTAAAACACTCTGTTAAAGTGAAGAAGAAATGTGTATATTTAGATAAAATAAAATAAAGCCATTATGAGTGGCTTCCTTTAAAATAAAGGAATTTCTAGGAACAAAAGAGTTTGAATATATAGGCCCTTCAGAAATAACCAAACAATAAAGTACATAGTGGATACTGTGTTCAGTGTTCTTCCAGGTATACAAGAGGCATAAGAAACAGTCCTTAACTTCAAGGAGATTAAGAATTAGTTCAGGGAACAAAATAGATGCATATGAAACAATCAGGAAATAGTATGAAGCAATAGGTAATCCAATGCCAAAATGAGGAATACAAGTAATAACATGTGAATGAAAGTTTGGAAAGGTATATCAGTACAAATCAGAGAACTAAGTAAAGCTTCATGTAGAAAGTAGAACTTGGATAACCTTTTAAGAATGAGTAGGATTAGGCTGGGCGTGGTGGCTCACACCTGTAATCCTAGCACTCTGGGAGGCCATTGAGAGGAGTTCTTGAGCTCAGTTCAAAACCAGCTTGAGCAAGAGTGAGACCCCCGTCTCTACTAACCCTTTGGACTCAGATGTCGAGTGTGGATAATGTCCAGTAGATAATGAGAAAAAAGCAAGTGAGTGCAAAGAGCTAAAAATAGAAAAACTAGCCGGGCATGGTGGTGCATGCCTATAGTCCCAGCTAAGCCAGAAGGATTGCTTGAGGCCAGGAGTTTGAGGTTGCAGTGAGCTACAATGACCCCACTGTGTTCTAGCCAACAGAGTGAGACTCTGTGTCAAAAATAAAATAAAATAATGAATAGGATCAGATAGAAGTTACAGGACACTTAAGGCAAAAAAAATATTATGTGTGAAAATGGCCAGTGAAAAGCTGACCAAATGAGGTGATGGGAAACAGAGAGAGATATGCTTGGATAAGGAGCATGGAACTAGGCTGCGGCAAAATTTGACAGCTAAGCCTATGAAGTAGGAGTCAGATCATGACAGGTGGGCAGGTCCATTATTTGACATTCATTTAAACAAATATTCTTTTACTACTTTCTCAACATGTATTAGGGGAGGTGTCTAAGAACTGTGTGATCATAAACCTACTGTAGAAGGAACACCCCAGCTAGGCATTCTTCCTTTAGCATTCTTCCTGTGATTAATCGATTTATCTTCAGATGACTGTTTAGTGATCATCTGCCATTGTACAAATCAATACTTTGGGCATTTTCATCTCTACCCCAAAGGGTTATCAAAGTGATATTTTCAACCACGTAGGATATTCTTCTTCTTTAAAATTTCAGTTGGGCTTTAGTTTATTTTTTAATAGATCTAGAGGTACAAATGGTTTTTGGATACATGGATGAATTGTATAGTGGTGCCAACTGGGCTTTGAGTGTACTTGTCACCTGAATAGTGTACATTGTACCCAATAGGTAATTTTTCATCCCTCACACTCCTCCCACTGCTCCCAGGATATTCTTCTTGAGAGGAGTTATTATAAGTAATTTTTTCCATCTGGTGACTTTTGAAATGATGTTGCAATGATATGGGCTAGCGCCTTTGGCAACTACCCATTTTGAGTAGGCAGTAGATAGGCAATCTGGATTCCTGACAGGCAAGTATGGTATACAATCCTGTGGAATGAGGTCTGATGGTTTTGACAAGGCCTGCTGAAAGGAAGGAAACTGAGACAGAGATGATAGCCAGTAGGCTCCTGGCACGTTCTATGCATGAAGTGATGCCTGCAGACCAGAATGGAGACAGTGATATTGGGAAAATGAGGCAGATAATCTTAGAGATTTTTCAGAGGAAAAAAATGAGGTAATTTTGGTATAAGATTAGGTAGAAATGATGATGAGAAAGGAACAAAGAAAACTGCATGATTTTTAGCCTGGCAGGGTTGAAGAAAGCATCACAAACAGAAATGGAGATGTTTTGAAAGGAGTTACATTGGAAGAAAAATGAGTTGAATTTGATGTTGAGTTGGAGACCGCAGAAGAATAGAACATGGAATTTCTAGCAAAAATTGGGACCTATGAGGCTAGAGCACTGCTGCAAAATCAGCTGCCATTATGTAGATTTGGGGACCATGTGTGCTTAAGTGATCAGCAGGTGTGGTGATGTCTAGGCAGCAGTGAATCGAAAACAGAAAGTCATGGACACGACCTTGGAGATACCCACAATTAAGATACAGGAGGTGAAAGTGAAACAATTATGAATCAGTCAAGGAATTAATTGTTGATTATATTGCAGCACTACAAAATGTCTTTAAGTACAAAAGCAACTTGTTACTTATTTATTTTTATTTATTTTGAGATGGTCTGGCTCTGTTGCCTAGTGTAGAGTGCAGCAGTGTCATCATAGCTCACAGCAACCTCAAACTCCTGGGCTCAAGAGATCGTCCTGCCTCAGCCTCCCGAGTAGCTGGGACTACAGGCACGCAGCAAGACGCCCCGTGGCTAATTTTTCTATTTTTGGTAGAGATGAGATCTTGCTCTTGCTCAGAGTAGTCTCAAATTCCTGAGCTCAAGCAATCCTCCCATCTCAGCTTCCCAGAGTGCTAGGATTACAGGTGTGAGCCACTGTGCCTGACCTGATCTAGCAATTCTTCAGGGAAATTTCCTAAGGAAATAATCTAAAATATGAAAAAGGCTATATTTATGAAGAAATTTATCACAGCATGATTACAAAGAAAAATTACAACATTCATAAATGCGTGACAACAGAGGATTAGTTATATAAATCATGTATAGGTTATACCAATTACTGGGGAGATTATATTAAGTAGAAATGCTGATAAGTGAAAATATAAGAATTTAAAATCGAATGTATAGTCTTTTAATAATTGCTTATAAAACTATACATTGATACATAAGGTGGAAAAAAAGACAGAAAGTAAGTTGTATCAACATATGCCAGTACTTGTATTACAAAGGTATGCTTGTGGAATGATTTTACTTTTACTTTTCTTGCTTTTCCAAATTTTCAACAATGTGTTTAAATGTCATTGATAACTTTGAAACTCCTTTTACAATTAAGCTGAAATAAAAGGATATCTACAAAATTGTCAGCTTTAATTGCTTTACATTTCATTTTAATGAAATCTTTTCCTGTAAAACTTTTTGTGTTGAGAAGTGATTGAGTAAGGCATGTTTGGAGGGAGGGAAAGTCTACTTTTTTACAACATAACATATTCTAGCAAAGTTTAAAACACACACATGCAGCTATGTACAGCTTAGATTCAGATCCCTCCCCAGCCCTGCCTTCCCCTCAAAGCCCAAAATATCAGTCTCTTACCTTTCTCCCATTTATCTGACTTATATTTAGCTCCTCCAGTGATTGAAGTTGGCATAGTTCAATAGGAAAATATATAAATTGATTGCTTGAGAAGTTTAATTTCTGGATTCCTTTTAAATTACAGATCTCTGAAGGTATTTTTTGTAATTGGTTTTCTGAAAGATCAAGTACTTGCAAATTTTCTAAAGTACACAATTCTCCAGGGAAAGTTTCAAATTTATTACAGCATAAAATAAGCACATGGAGTGATACCATGTTAGAAATAGATTTTGGAATTTTTCTTATTTGGTTTTTACCAAGGTCCAGGTATTCAAGGTTAATAAGAGAACAAAAGTACTCAGAAAATATGAGGAGTTTGTTTCCATTGAACTCTAAATGAAGCAGTTGTTTACTGAAAGATATATCCACAGGTATTTCTGAAATATAATTTCCATTGAAACTCAAATAATAAAGAGACTCTAAAGCACACAGCCCCACTGGAAAATACATTATTTTATTACAATTTAATTCAATTTTAGTTAGTTTTTGGCAATTTTTTATTTCAATGGGAACATCTGTGATTACATTTCCTGAAAATTCTAGACTGCATATATTATGAAGATGTAAGATATCTTCAGTTATTCTCACCATATTATTTCTGTTTACATGGAGTTTTCTTAAGTTTTTAAGCTTATGGATGTTTTTAGGAAGTTCTGTTAACTTATTATCACTAAGACTGAGGCATTCCAGCATTACACAGTAAGAAATTTTTTCTGGTATATTTTTCAATAAATTCTTAT